TGTATTTGTCTTACATTCTTGACTTTGTAAGTACTCAGGAACAGGGGCCATGCCATATAGTTTTGCATTCCCCCAGCATAGCAAGGAAGCTATTAAAGATAAATGTTTAAACATCTGTTATGTAAAAAATGCTTTGCTTTTTTTCTTTTGTTAACGTTCAAATTATAAGGATGTCCACACTTTTCACAGAATGGAAAGAAAATAAACAGTCTAGGGAGAAGATTGATTTAATTTTGTAACTGCTATTATTTATATAAATAACTCAGTATATATCAACATTGAGTGATTATGACTTCTTCATATGTCTTAAAAAATGTAATCAATACTTATTTTTATCTACCAAGACTTTAGAATATTTTCATGTTTAGTAAATGAATACCTTTTCTGTTGACCAATAGGACTCAATGAGGAACATATGGTGCTGTCTATTTTACTTTAAAGGATGAATTTTCCAACTCCTTTTGGCTTTGAAGACAAGAATTAAGTTTCTCCTAACCTCAAAGTATTGCTCTGCTATTAAATGATCCAATCAAATTTTATAAATTGGAGGGTCTCTCAAAGTTAGTTCCAAATAAATTTTTAAGTTTCTTAACACAACATAGTTCCTTTATATGCCATATTTATTTTAAGAAATAGTTTCACTAATATCTTAGGCATAACAGTTTCAATTGAATTTGGTATAAAAACTTGAGTATTTGAATATACTTATTAATTTAAGCATTACTAACAATAGAATCCCTTGAAGAAGTTTATAGAATGAATTAATCCATACAAATTGAGTGGTAAAATTTTATCTGGGTGTAAAAATCACTTTATATAAACTAGCATAATTTGGAAACTCTTACTCTCATGCTAATAAAATGTGTAGTATTGACACTTTTTCTAGCTACAATTTATAAAACTTTTCAGTTTTCATTAATTTTTATTAAATTTTTAATTAATTTTAGAAATACATGTGAGAAGTCAATTTGATTTTGACAGTGTACACCTAGAATAACCAGGAGTTATCTTAAACCTTTCAATACTTACTTTCCTTCTCATGTAGCCAAATTCTCCTTAAGGTTGAGATACATGCTGCTTATTATTGCAATTTTTTAATAATCATGGAACTTGATCTATCAGTACTTAATACGTGCTTGTTGTATGAAGAGTCAGTGTGTTACAAGTAGGAGCACAAACATCTTTATGACATTTTTAAATAGAAAAGTTTGAGCCCATTTCTTTGTCATCCAGGATTACTGGAAT